TACGTAGTGTCGGAGAAGTTTTCATAATGTCCTCCTATCTACACTGTCAAATGCCTTTTCATAATCAATGAAGTTGATGAACAGTGACGTGTTCCACTCAACTGATTGTTCGACGGTGATCCATAGTGTCGCGGTTTGGTCTGTGCACGACCGATCCTTACGGAATGCAGCTTGTTGATCTCGAAGTTGGGCGTCTACTGCATCTTTCATCCGATTCAGCAACACTCTGTTGAAAACGTTTCCTGGTACTGATAGTAGTGTGATTCCTCTGTAGTTTTCACATTTGCTCAGATTTCCTCTCTTTGGAATCCTGATGAGGTGTCCTTCTTTCCAGTTCATCGGCACTTGTTCCTCCTCCCAAATCTTTTTGAATAGAAGGCAAAGCATGTTTGTAGTTGCTTCGATGTCTGACTTCAGTGCTTCAGCTGGTATATTGTCGAGTCCTGCTGCTTTCCCTCTCTTGATTTGTCTGATGGCCATTCTGATTTCTTCTGTCGTTGGTGGATTGACATCTATAGGAAGATCTGTGTGTGCTGCTTCGATGTCCGGTGGATTCATAGGAGCCTGCCTATTCAGGAGTTCCTCGAAGTACTCTACTCACCTGTTCCGCTGTTGTCGAATTTCAGTGATTAGCCTCTCTTGTTTGTCTTTGACTGATCTCTCTGATCTAATGTATCTTCCTGCTAGTTTCTTCGTTGTATCATAAAGCTGTTTCATATTTCCTTCTCTAGCAGCTTTTTCCGCCTTCGTTGCTAGTTTTTACACGTATTTCTGCTTGTCGGCTCTGATGCTTATCTTTACTTGCTTGTTTGCTTCTATGTACTAAGCTTGTGCTTAGCCTTTCTCTGCTCGTGTTCGGCCGTTTTTAATTGCTGTCCTCTTGAGGCAAAGAACCTCTTGACACGTTGAAGTTAGTGCCTCCTTGATGCCTTTCCAGTTGTCCTCCATAGTTGTTTCTTCTCCATTCAGTCGATCTTGTAGGGCTTTGAACCTGTTGTTGAGAGCTATTTTGAATTCATTGAGTCTGTCAGTATCCCAAAGGGAGGCTATATTGTACATTTGTATTGCTGTTTGTTCAGTTCTCCAGTTCTTCTTTAGCTTCGGTTTTAAATTGGCCACAACTAGGTGGTGATCTGAAGCTATTTCAGCTCTTCTCCCGGTTCTCACATCTTCCATTGTCCTTCGGAATTTTTTGTTGATGCAAATATGATCTATCTTGTTCTCTATAGTGTGGTCTCGTGAGATCCATGTAGACTTGTGTATACGCTTATGTGAAAATATTGTGCCTCCTATGACCAATTTGTTGAATGCACATGGATTTGTAAATCTTTCTTCATTTTCGTTTCTCTCTCCCAGTCCATGTCGTCCCATGATATCTTCATACCCAGTGTTGTCTATTCCAACTTTGGCGTTTAGATCTCCCATTAGAATGGTGAGGTCGTTTCTTGGGCACTTCTCTATGATTGATCTTTAATGTCGTCGTTGCTATCATTGGTGGGTGCATAACATTGGATAACATTTATTGTGAACCCTTCTTTGTTTTGAATGATGCTTTGATGATTCTGGATCCGTGAGATTCCCATCCAACAAGTGCATTTCGTGCTACTTTGGACAGCATTAGAGCAACTCCCTGAGTGTGTTGAGCATTTTTCTCCTCTTGACCGGAGTATAGTAGCATCCAGCGTATTTAGCCTTTTCTGTTCAGCTTGGGTCCAGTGGGTTTCGCTGATTGCCAGTACTGCCAAGTTGTATCTCCTAATTTCTGTTGCAATTTGACTGGTCTTACATTGTTCGGACTTTCCATGTACCTATAAAATTGTTGCTCTGTTTGTTAGAAGGGGCATCGGCCTCGTGCATTCCGAAGCAACTCGGCTTTCACCATGAAGCGTCATAATTCTTCTAAGTGAAAAGCTTCTAACTTTCAAGGCAGAGTTTAAATGGCTTGAACTATTTTTTCTGGTTAGCGTTTATTTAGCAAGTTAGTTTTCTAAGGGATATGGAGGCTAACCCCATGCCCAACCCTCCTCTTATACCCGACCTTGCGACCGTCAGTAACTCTTGAAGAGCCACAGACAAATCGTAAATCAGACATGAACCACAGATCACCGTTCTTCAAATATTCTAGCGAACATCGTCAAATAAAATGTTACGTGCGAAAACTACTCATCTCACTTCATAGTTAGATTCATGAGGACGTTTCCGCACACTGTTCGTCCATCCAATTTTTATTAAAACATTCATTCGAAATGAATTCAAGTTTATTCTTTATGGTCATTAAAAAGCCACAATGTCTAGGTACGGTAAAAAATCTAATCCATATTCAGTATCAACCGAGAGATATGGTTCTGATGTTACCTAGGAGGCTTCACAATTAGACCACAGCCATTCAGATAGATCATCTATATTGGTGATGTTCACTTACGAGCAAGATATTGAGTAAAACAACCTACTATGATGACTTTTTAACTGTTGCATTGCACAGTTATTTTTTATTTCCGTCATCACTGAAGAAGGTTGTTGCAGATGGTTAGTTTGGAAAGCGTGATAATTTGGAGTATTTGAATTATTGTACAAACTAGAAATAACAGCAATGGTGAAATTTAGATCAAGAAGAACTAGGTGACTAGAAACAAACGTATTGTACTTGGAACATGAAGTCAAGCATGCATTTAGTAAAAAGGAAACATTAGTTCATACAAACACCACATAAACATAATTTCATGGCGATGATTATGTATAGAATGGCCTTCATAAATATTATTGATTGTGAAATCTTCATTAAAGCTCTATAGAACTTCTATGGAATTCATTAACGTGCCAAATAATGTTCACTTCCTTTTCATATGATATGTATGTATATATTTAAACAAAAACTGCACGCACTTTACCAAAGAAATTATTGTCTTCAAAATCTTATTCCTCTATACCTTTAAATTCACAATCTGGAGTGCCTATCTAGGTATCTGACAGTCTATATAAAGTATTTCTTTAGAAAGCTAAAAAAAGAATAATGTGAGTACTCAAACTCGAAGGATGTTGAATTAAAATTAAAGTGCATCAAAGATTATGGGTTACTTGTTGCTACAAATCTTTCGTATTTCAACTCGCTTTAAAAATGTTCGTCATATTTAGCTATAAGATACGCTCCAGATACACTCCACTGCAGTTTGAAAATCTCTTAATCAGTCTTAACTTGGGAGAGACAGTAAACTAGGTGACCTGTCTTCATCCTGGCAGTGCTGGTCGCTCAGTTGATCCAACTTCCTTTTGAAAGCGTAGACAGATCGAGCTGCAATCACGTGTTGAGTTAATGCATACAATTCGTTGATGATTCGATGGGGAAGTCGATGGTCAGCTGACAAGTAATTTGTTCTGGGAGTGTGAACGTTTTAGAGTGTCCTCGTAAGTTTTCTGTTCTGAAAGACAGGAAGAGTGAGGGCATATTAGATGCGAATTTATCACTAAGTTGTCTAAAATATGTGGTCGAGTCACCTCTCGTTCTTTTATATGACAATGGAAATTAGTTTAGTTTAGCCAGTCGAGGATCGTACAGGAGCTTTGCCATCCCTAGAACCAGCTTAGTTGTGGTTCTCTGAACCCTTTCCAACAACTCATTGCCTCTTTTTGGCAGGAGCTAGCCACTTGTATGCAATACTCGAGTTTAGGACGAACGAGTACTGTATACGAAATCAAAAGTGTTTTAGCATCGACATGGCTAAAGACCTTACATATTGACCATAGGGTTCTAAAACCTCTGTCGGATATCCCACAGCAGTGTGCGGTAGTTTTGAAGTCTTTGAAGCTTCCAGATATTAAGATTTCGTCTCGTCAGTACCCAGTAACCTAAATCTCTCCCACATGTTTTGCCTCTTACGGAGAAGGGTGCTAACCTCTTTACCGAATCACGGTGGGGAGTTTGTCGGATCCCTTGGTGTAGCCGTTTCAACGATGGATTCTGGTTCTATTGACCAATCTATTAAGGGAGCTGAATGTGTAATATCTTGCATATTTACTTTCTAGACGTTTGGTCTTACTTGGGCTGACACATTCTCGTTGCCGACAACTATATGGAAATCAAAGACTAGAACTGTATGGCCACTTTTGCCTAGGGGTGGCGTATAATAGAGGACTGCGACATCATCTTCATAATGGATCATTACGAGATCTAGTAAGGATGGTTCGGAGTCCGGGTGGCACCTAGTTACCACTCTCATATGTTGCACTGGGGTACATTTGATAACCGCATCAACTAGTTATTGTTCAATAGAGTTTTCGAAAAATTGAATCCTCTGATTTTTCCAGCCTAGAGTAGGTGCATTTAGATCTCCTAAGCGTAAACATCGACCACTTGATGACCAGGCGTTGAGACCGTCTAACGAGACTCGATTCACCTTGCAGTTTGGACTACGGTAGACCAAACGAATCAGCAGCTCCCTTTTTTGGATTTCAAGCGGTGACCAATCAATTCTCACGTTCCGCTTTTGTGAGATATGTTATCAATGACGATAAATGTAACGGCATTTCTAATGAATAGAGCAGCTTCTTCTCCTTTACGCTTCTGTATTCTTACGGTTCTTACTAACGTGGAGCGTCCAGAATCAAGTGCCTTACTGTCCATAGACTGCGTTAACCGAGTTTTTGTGACTGGGTTTACTACTAGCTCATCTACTCTGTTTCTGATTGTTTCTACACGGTCTTGATTCTGTCCTCGGTCATTTCTATAAAACCTACTTTTGTAATTTAGATGTATTCGCGAATCTTGCAGAGCGATTTGGGTATCGTTACCTGATGAAATCACACTAATCGAAAAGTTACATTTTTCGAACCTTTTTCGTCAAGATCTACTACATTTTTATTGGTTGTATTCATTAGTCACGCACATCCATTACATTTTTCTCACCTCGATTAGTCATGAAACGTGAGAAAAACGGATGTTTTGCTATAGTGACTTGAGAAAATAGATATTTTATGTATCAAGTTTTTAAGGGCATTAATTGGAACTCTAACTTTGCCGGCTATTTGAAAGTTCTATATTGCTCACGTTACTTGTATTTCAAATGTCTGGATTTGACCCAGTTTCTGACTTTCTTGCTCGTGAACAGCAAGCTCTTGGGGACTTAGGTGATGATTTCAAGCTAAGCGAAGATATTCCAAGTTAGTTGTCCACAATTTTGTTCCATTTTGCTTTGTCATGTATATTTAGACAGATTGAACTGCTAGCTTTGTAGATAACAGTTTCATCTCTCAGCCATTGTATATGCCTATCCACATATTCGTGTCTTTCAAGTCGGGTCGTTACTACTTTAGAGCCACATACGTATTAAAACGTTAGACCAGAAAAGAATATTTGATGGAAAGTAAACCTTGGTGTAAATTTCGAGACATTGATCATTAGGGGGAGGTCAAGACACAACTTCCTACCGTTTTCTTCTGGCAGGAAACAACGCAGGGGTTTTCGCGCGTTCTTCTCCTTCTCATTCCGATTTTTCCTTAGAATTGTCGCCTTTATTTGTTATGTTTGGCATTCGAATAAACGTCGTTTCTGAAGCAGAAAAATTGGAAGGAAATCCACTCCACATCCAAAGTTTTTTACTCCTGAGGTCTGAAATATTGCACGGAAAAGAACGGTGAAAGCAAAGCATTTGGAAGGTTTTGAACTACTCTTTGGAATGCGCGATAACAGCCTTTAGTTACAAAATAATTTTGTAAGATGATAAGATTATGATTGATAAATAGTTTTAAAATAAATAATAAACCCTCGTTCATGAATTTCCGGATTTTTTAAATCACACGCACAAAAATTGACTTGCAAAACTTGTTTCTAGCTGTGTGAATGGATGAATTTCACACTGGAACCTAATTAGTCATTTCGAAAATATTAATTTTGCTGAAAAAGCAACAGTTGTTTTAAGTGATCTTGATGATAACTCACATGCTTGCAATACCGTCGAGTGTGAGATAACTAATTAATAATCCGTTTTTTCGTTGGAACTTTTACCTTACCCCTATATTGATTCTTTTAAATTTGGGATTAGTCATTCATTCTCTCTGTAGATACAATTATATTCACAACCATGTCCTTGTCTGTCGTTTGCTTAGAAGGATAATGGAATCTGTCTACTGCTCGCTCAGTAATCTTCGTTTTTATTGATAAGGATATGTTGACCGATATTTCGGTTATTTCGCAAAATTTACTGGCTTCTGGAATTTTGTAATTTTCTAACAATTACACTGGTCTCTTTCAAATAAACAGTTGAGAAATGTTTACGTTAAGCAAATTCAATCATTTTAGGGGGCTTGATGCTGTTTGATATACTGTTAATATGTCCAAAGATTGGTCTAATGCATCTTTCGTAATGATAAAGGTGTGATCCGCATACCATAACTAGGTTTAAGTCAGGAGATCACATTTTGGGATTATGTTTATTTTCCATATGTACTTAAGTATTATTCAAAACAGTTGGGGAAACTGAAAATCTCATAGCTGCATTTGTTTACCTGTATGAACTTCGTAATTTAAGTAGTGAGGCCATGTTTCGCTTACTTTACGGCAGCGAAACATGGCCTTTAAGAGTAGAAGACACTCGTAAGCTATTAGTATTTGACCACAGATGCCTAAGAAATATTGCTGGCGTCTGCTGGGATAACCGGGTAAGTAATAGTGAGGTTAGATGCAGGGTATTAGGTAATGATGGTAAATCAGTTGATGAGGTTGTTAATCTTCATCGACTGAGATGGTTGGGCCACGTGTTACGTATGCCTGAACACCGATTACCACGACATGCAATGCTAACGGGTGTTAGAGATGGCTGGAAGAGAATTAGGGGCGGCCAAACCAAAACGTGGCATCAGTGCTTGAAGACACCAACCTCTAGTCTGAGCCACGTTGTAGCTGACTGACTGAGTGAGGTGTAAATATACCACGTTTTAGTAATCATGAGGTGTCAAATTCTAAATGCCTGATATATAACACAGTCTTGATAGATATAACAGCAAGCAAGGAACAAAAATTAAAACGTGTTCTTAAATCCATGTGAATTGGATTGATGTTTTGAATTAATTTTGATTCCAATTTTCAACGTGTAGGGTTTATGGATCCCAGCTTAATATGTCGCTAGATAATACGTTGGTGTTTGTTCTGCCAACGGCTAGTGCGTTTTCGGTAGTTCATAGAATCTTCAAGAATTAAGTTAAATTAATGCACGTGCTAGGTACTTGGCTACGGACTACTTTAAGTTTGAGAGCTTATGATACCATCCGTTTACGTGAACTAAAGTAGGTAGATTGGTATTCAAATGTGGGACTGGAATTCGGATGCTTGAAACACGAGACCACAGCTCCAAAGTCTAACCCACAAGCACTGTTTAAGGTAAGACAAACTCAAATGGACGAACTAGTTCCCCCTTCTAAGACTAGTATTTTTATTGCATTACCTTTTCATTTGCTGTGCGTGAATCGACATTTGGTTTGTTCTTTTCATATTATTCATCAAAAAGATATCCCTTAGCTTCTCTTTCATCGTACTTTATCCTTATATTATTAAACAAATTTTCTCCTCTCCAACAAGCGTCTACTTAAAGGATGCCATAATTATCGAGGTATGTCTTCTTTTAATCAAACTTAAACCGTAAGAATTTGTAAGACCGAATTGAGATTCTTCGGGCATGTCGTGGATATATTGGTCACACCGTCATCTGCCAAATAATGTCGTTTTGTCCTTCGACATCTACTTGTTAGATAAACTTATGCTTTAAAATCATCTAACGAAAATATGTGCATTTGAGGATTTTACTAATATCTTGGAAGATGCATCCACTCTTTATTTTAAATTCCAATATCCTCCCACGCATACCATCCCACTCTTTTCTTTTCAAACCGTATTCCCAAGATTAATTGTTTCTTTCCATTATTGTTACTACTTTGCTCCAATTGTATGAATGTACTACATCAAATTTGTTGTCGACAATTTTATGTTTCTTTTTTTGTCAGTTTCATCTTTGTGCCATACCAATGTTCTCTCATTTTTATGCGAAATTAAGTTGTGCAGCTTAATTTTTCGGCTCTTGACCAGTAAGCTACAGGTTTAATCCTCGATCTACCTATTTCACTTTTAGTGTTTTGGTACTTTCATTAGCCTATACAAAGTGTGGATCGAAGTCAAAATGTCTGTACAAGCTATTGTAGAAACAGATAAAGAGAGCTACGTGTATGGGACTGCATAAAGTCACTGACGTGACCTAAAACATGCTGAGAAATATAGGTCTATTTTTGTTTTATAGATGTTAGTGGGTAGGGACATGAATTACGCTTTTTACCCTTCATCAAGCACACGTCGCTGACCATGATTCTTTAACCGGCTATGTCTTGGGCAATTCTTTCCAGTTGCTATTCATCCTTTTGATATCTGCTCCCAATTCTCGGCGCGGTGTATTCTTTGACCTTCCTCTTTCCCGTTTACTTTCAGGATTGCCACGTGGTGCAGTTTAATAATTTCCAGAGTGTCCTGTCCATTTCCAACGTCTTTTCTTAATTTCCTCCTCAGCTGGCAGTTGGTTCGTTCTCTCCCACACTGGGCTGTTTCTGATGGCATCCGGCCAACGGACATTCAGTATATTAGGCAATTGTTTATTTGTCCGTTTTTGATGATGGCTGTGGTAATTCTCCAAGTTACAGTTCCGTACAACAGAACTGTCTCGACGTTCGCACTGGTATGATATGACGAGAGTATAAGTTAGCTGTTAAGTTCACATCCCTATCGCATCATGTGCCTGAAAAACTAAATGCCTGTGAATTAGAAGCACAGAAATTTAAAGTTTTAACTATTGATACTTATTGTTAGTTTCAGTTAACTTTTATGTCACTATGCACTGTAAATAATTTCGTAGGTATCAGTCGTTATAAGTATAGGGCTTAATATTTTAAAAAGTTCGTTATCTTAAATGAATTCTTAGTGATTTTTATACTATGAGTTCCGTCACTTTTTAATACAAATTGAACTTCCCAAAATTTACTTCACACTTGGTTGGTTTTGATTAATAATCCTGAGTAACTATATTTAAATTTCATATGAGGCCGAAAATACATAACACAACGTTGATAGTTATTTTCTATAGGTAGTCCGGTAGCATATTATGGCAAATTTTGTAGTTGGAGTACTTTATGTCACCTTTAAAAAGGCCATTTCGTTGCCACGGATAATATTATCAATTGATGAGCAGATTTTAGACAGTAAAAATAAAATAAAATGCTTATCAACAGATGAAATACAACGATACGAAGTTTGGTTAAGTGATAATTGTTCATCAGATCAAACTGTTGTCTCAAAACGCGTTATCAACTAATACCCAACAAGACAGCTAATCAAAATAATAGATTTTTTATTGTATACAGTAATATGATACTCATGCATAAATTATTAATACAAAATAAACAATTAAATGTGTCACTCAGTTTCTTGGATTGCTCGAAGTTATACATTAACACCGTTGGATGCTGGCTCAGTGGTCTAGTGGTTAAGCGCTCGCGCGCGAGACATACGTCCTGTGTTCGAATCTCTCGAGGCGGGATCGTGGATGCGCACTTCTGAGGAGTCCCACAATAGGACGAAACGGCCGTCCAGTGCTTCCAGGTTTACCATGGTGGTCTAGCTTCAATTAACTCATGATCTCAACCATTGAAATTACTATAATATTCGCAAGATCCTTCTGATATAATTAAATGTCATAAAAAACAAGGAAATCGGTTTGTTGTGTAGATACATAGTACTAGTATGGGAAATCAGTGAATTTTTATCGACTGATTTTGTTAGGACATGTATTACGTAAGCCCATCCGTCAACTTTCTTTATGCGTAATGGTGGCTTATGTAAAGTAGGTCGTGAAAATTCAGTGGCATCCAAACCAAGAAATGGCTTCAGTTGGAAGACACTAACCATTGGAATGAACCAAGTAAGTAGGCTCAGACTACGTGGCTGGCGTCCGTGTGATTATGTTAACTAATGATTTGGGACTTGAGTAACCTGGTTTATAATCATTTGTAATTGCTCAGGTGCATTCACCCTTTGTCCTCACTTAGATATTAAGTTTTTAAATTCCTCATCAAATTTTTTCGTTATTTCTCTAGTTTATATTTTCTCGGGTTGTATCTTAAATGTCTAATCTTTTAAATTACCATTAAAACTTACTTCGTGTACTACTTGGGGATCAACTTTGATAATTTCATCTTGGTGGGTTAATGAGGTATGGAGACTCGAACCGATATAAAAATATTTAAGTCCTACATTCCATATGACTAGCTGACTGACTTTACGCTTCAATGACTTAAAACGTAACTGCTCTGGATTTATTTTTTCCCATCATATTAATATTTCAAATTTTTATCATGACATTTAAACATGTCTGTTACATTGAGCAGAGTGTATAGTTTCCCCACACTTACGATGTTTTATAAACTAGTGAGTCGGTTCTCTCATCATATCTTAATCTGAGAGCTTTCTCACTGAATAATTTAGATACCGAGGTCTCTGATCCCAGTTATGTGTTTCTTAATGGACAATCTACAATGAATGGCTCTCATTTTGGACACAATTTGGCTGAACCTGATTGTAGAGCTAACAATTCTGTTCATGATTTCAACACAATTGTATCATCCGACAGTAATGTTGGTGGAACTGAGTCATGGCGGGAGGAATTCGAGAGAAGAATTAAGGCTAAAGATGCTGAAGAAGAAAAAAGATGTGCTGAGTTGATGGAAAATGGAAAAAAGGTAATTTTTCAGATAATCGACCTTTTTCGATAATCTGTTACATTGTGTTCTGTCCATTTTCTTTGGGTCTTAATGATATCTGATTTTTTTTGACATTATTGAGTGGCAGAAAAGTGGGCCTTTTTCATCGTAGTTTCTACACGAATACTGATTACTGTTCAACTTGGTAAATTTGGCTGGGATGACTACCAGCTTCGTGGATTGGATCTGCCTGTTGCAATGAAACATACTCGTTAGGAATTGAAATCATTGATATTCTCCGATACCAAAATATCCGATGGTAAATATAGAAGATCAGAAGTAATGAACGTCTTATTTATGAGGGTTGTATTCTGAAATGGCCCTAGTTCTGTTGTCCATTTGTGTGCTATAGTATGATGCCATTACGATGTTTCCTTTCAGACAACCAGTTTCTAGTTACAGTTTCTCTTAGTTTGACGAAAAGCAATTTTGATTTTACCCCTCGACCCCGTACATTTATTGACTGTCCCAAAAGTCATTTGGCTCCAAACAAAACTACCTCGTACCCAATATTAAAGTAGTATTCGACTCTTAACACTTAGCCACCGAATGCCCTGGTACGACCGAGGGTGGGGAGAGTCAGCTCTCCCTCTCGAAAAGCTCTCAAGTGGCCACGTGCATACCATCACTGCCAGAGAAGTCTTATTCACTGCCTTCTCGTGGCGGGGGTGTTGACGAAACTGAGAGGGCGAAAAGCGAATGTCCGGCGCCTTAACCGGGTTGGTGGATATGGAGGATCAATCTAGGGAAGTTGAAAAACCCTGATTCCAAACCAATGGCGCACATGGGCTCCAGGATCCTAAAGAAACTAATGGCGTATAGACCAATCGTTGATCACCGGCTACCATTGGACTGCATCTCCTAACGTTACTCCACTGCCTTGTGGATCAGACCTTTAGGCCAAAAGCTCTGTGTGTGGCTCCCTAAGAAAAGCACCTGCTTCAGTTTGGGCACCCGGTTAGTATCCCAGCCCTTACATAAATCGAATGATTTATGTGGCGCATATCTGTTTGGTGCTTTCTTGTATCGCCGTTTATGTGTTTAAATAAATAAATCCCAGATGCATCCTAATATTATTATTATTATTATTTATTATTTGAGCACATAAATATTGGTACAAGAGAGCGCCAATATATATGCGCCACACAAAACAATGAAAATTCGAAGAGAGAAAAGAAAAAAAAAACTAAGGAGCACAAAAGAAAAAGAGAACGGTAACAAGAGATTGGTGAAAGGTAGTGCGGTCGTAACGAGGGAACGGAAAGGTACAATCAGAAGAAATCTTTCAAGTAAGGGAGACACAACCACTTTTTATGAAGAAAGTAAAAGAAGGTTACAGCAGGATCGCCACTGGCTTCTATTCTGAGCCATATCTGATAACGTCTCTAGCCACTGTGTAGCACCATCTCTCAGACCACAACCAGGGAGTCGTGAAGGACCGACAGAAGCCAGTCCTTTGCAGCTTTCTTTCATACCACGACACCATGTCATGCACTGACCACCTCTCCGCTTTTTCAAACCAGTCCCAGAGTCGGCAAATAATGCACGACGTGGAATTCTCTGGGACGACATTCGTAGAACATGTCCAAGCCACCGAAGTCGGTGTTTCAAGATGGTGACACCAAATGAATTATCATCTCTGTGCCCAAACACACGATGCCGAACCTCTGCATTACTAACATGGTGTTGCCACTGAATGTCAGCAATCCTTCGGAGACAGCGATGATCGAACACAGAGAGTCGTCTAACGTCCTCAACTCGGAGAGGCCAGGTTTCACAAGCATAGAGCAAAACTGCTCTCACCGACGCGTTGTAGATCCGACCTTTTACAGCCAGACTAACATCACGAAGGCGCCAACGGTGGCCCAGATTGGCATAAGTCGCTCTGGATTTCACTATACGTGCATTGATCTCATCACTCACACCCCCACCAGCACTTATGCAGCTACCCAGATACACGAACTTCTTGACTACTTCTATCTGCTCACCATCCAGGGTGAGTACAGGATTGGAATCCTGCCAGTCTTGTAGAAGTACTTTGCACTTCGAAGGTGCAAAGCACATACCATACCTACGGACACTGATTGCCAACTGATTAAGTGCGGATTGCATGCCTTGGGCATTATCGCACAGTAAGACAATATCGTCCGCATACTCAAGGTCGAGAAGTCTTTCTCCAGGCAACAGATCCACACCACCATTACTTACATTCATCAGAGCTGTTTTCAGAATGTCATCGATGGCAAAGTTGAAGAGGAATGGTGAGATTGGGCAACCATGCCTAACCGCACTACTCGTATAGAACAATGGAGAGAGGTGGTTGTATGCCCTCACTCTGCCTGAGGTGTTTTTATATAGGGCTTTTAGGATGTTAATAAACTTCTCAGGCACACCCTTCTTCAATAGACAATCTCAGAGAACAGTCCTGTCCAACGAATCGAAGGCAGCCCTGATGTCAAGAAACACTACGATTGTTGGCCTTTGATAAGTATGGCGATGTTCTAACATTTGGCGGAGGGTGAAAATATGATCAATACAACCTCGACCAGAATGAAACCCAGCCTGCTCCTCGCGAGTCAATCTTTCTCGGGTTTTGAACAACCTACGAAGTATGACGGAAGCCAATAGCTTGGACGCAATCGGAAGTAGACTTATCCCCCGATAGTTGTTGCAGGAACGACGTGAACCCTTTTTAAAGATAGGGACAACTATCGACTCATTCCATGACGTTGGTACACTCTCTAATTCCCAAACCTTTGTAAACAACGTCGTCAATTCCTTAGTCAAAAAGTCACCACCATCTTTAAAAAGAGCCGGAGGTAAGTCATCTGGGCCAGGTGATTTGTAACGCTTCAAGAGTTGGAGTTCCTTGCGGACTTCCTCCTCGTTTGGTGGATCAGTCGTCACCGGCCATGGAGGGCAGGACAGTCTGACCGATGTTGCCGGAGCAGCAGGCCAGTTGAACTGCCCTTCGAAAAATTCTGCCCATCGTCCAAGACGTCGATGGATGTTAGTGATTGGCATCCCATCATCCTCGCAGATTGTTTCACTCACACCAGACTTCTTGCTGCCAGTGGCTCGGATGAGCTGGAAGAGCTTCCGGTAGTTACCAGATGCAGCTGCTGCTTCCAGCTCATTAGCACGCTCCGACCACCAGGCTTCTCGGTCCTTACGCAAGCTTTGCCCAATTTCCCTAAGTAACATCCTTCGTTTATGGTCAAACTCACGGTCACCCGGAGTCGACCGACGGGCTTCAATGAGTTGTAAGGAACCAGAAGAAACCCAGTGCTTATAAGCGGGACGTTTCGCAAACCCACAACTGACTGTTCCCGCCATTTTCATGGCGTCATGCAATTGCAACCAATGCTCATCTATACTTTTCGGTGGAGTGGTAGCTAGCCTAGAAACTAGCTCGGTTCGATACTTATTTGCAACAGAAGTTGCAACCAGCTTGCTGACATCAATCCTTTGATGGTGGTCACTTCGTTGTCCACTGAAAAGTAAGGCAAGATTGGCGCAGACCAAGCCATGGTCAGAGTCCAGATAGGTACTCCAAAAGGAGCGGCAGTCTTTTACACAACCACGCCAGCGGAAGCTGATCGCGATGTGATCAATCTGAGTCCAGGCTTGAGATGCAGAGGGAGGACGCCAGGTGGCACATCGGCGATGACTGTGCCGAAAGTTAGTGCTAGCCAGAAACAGGTTGTGGTCTGTGCAAAGTTGCAGTAGACGGTCCCCGTTATCTGACCTGCGACCAACGAGTCCCCATCGGCCACCTAAACGACTCTCTTCTGTGCCTAGACGCCCGACCTGCGCATTCAAGTCTCCGGCTAGTACTACAATATCTGTCGAGCGCACTTTCTGGAGAAGAACAGACAGCTGGTGGTAAAACTCATCCTTGATTGCATCCGGGCTGCAATCTGTCGGGGCATAGGCGGAGATGACGAAAAGACATCGTTTCTCGCGCCGATTTCTTCTCACTTTGATGGAACTTTCTAATCTAACAGCACATAACCGACTGTTAATGGGGATCCAATCGATTAGTGCTGCCTCAGCTCTAGCGCTTAATGCGACACCAACGCCAGCAAGACCAGACGAAGATGCCACAGGGTCCCCGGATAAGCGCACGTAAAACAAGCTTTTCGAAGCGACAGATGGAGATCGAATTTGTAGTACTTCGCCAGAGTCTTGAATACGGGTCTCGGATAGACAACAAACATCAATATTGAGACTTTCCAAAGACATAGCCAGCCCTATCTGTTGTCCGACCTGCATTAGTGTGCGAACGTTGAAGGCAGCCAGTTTGAATGGTGCACGTGGTTTCAAAAAAACTGCTTCAGTTCTCGTATTTGGTGGTAACATACAATTTTCAACCGTACAGTGACTCGAGAACGTTTAGATACAGTCGAATTTCCACCAAAGACGAGCCGCTGTATAAGTATAAAAGAGGGTGAATAATGTGGAAAATAATAATAATAATCATAATAATAACAATAATGACAATAATGGTAATAATAATAATAGTATTAATAATGACAATAATAGTAATGATAATTATTTGAATTGATTGATTGTTTATCGGATCGAGAAAGGTAGTTGCCGTAGTCATAGAGTTCATTGTTTGTGTGTGGGCTGTGATACTGCCCGGGTGCCCAAACCGAAGCAGGTGGTTATCTTAGGGGGCCACACCCCGAGCCTTTGACCTAATGGTCTAACCCACAAGGCAGTGGAACATCGTGAGGAGATACAATCCCATGGTAGCCGGTGACCAACGATTGGTTCATACTCCATTTGTTCCCGCAGGATACTGGAGCCCATGTGCACCATTGGTTTGTGATCCGGTTAAAGCGCCGGACGTTCGCTTTTCGTCCTCTCATTTTCGTAAACAACACCCCCGCCACGAGAAGGCAATGAGTAGGACTTCCCTGGCAGAGGCTGTATACGCGCGGCCGTGTGAGAGTATTTCGAGAGGGAGAGCGGACTCTCCCCACTCTCGGCCGTACCAGGGCGTTCGGGGGCCATGCATCCTAATGATTAAAACTGTAGTGTATTAGACCAGTACCAACCACTAGTGGTCATGAATAGCCTACATTAGGCACTAATGAATATGATTAGTTAAGGATTATCATTAAATGAGAAGCTCGTTCTAAGATTTGTGTAGTCGAACCACTGTTCTAATAGTTCATGCTACTTTGTTTTTTCACTGTCTTTCGTACATAAAGGGCAGTTTACAGTTGATTCTATAAATCTGCGTTGGGTTATCACGTTTTCTCACGTTTTAAACTCGTACTACACATAGGCTTAGTCATTTCCTTGTTTTCACTTGACGAAATAAAAAGCAAAGCTGAAAACATTTGATTTTAATCATATTCTAAAACACCATCAAAACACGTAATCAAATGTTTTTGCATTGGTCCATAATGAATGTTCATGTTTATTCATCTGGGTAGTTATTGTTATACTTTTTAAATTATTACAATTGTGTGCTTATTGCTCAGATGTTTGCATAATTGTTAGCGCATTTTCGTATTGTGGTCAGTTTGCAAGAATTAGAGCACTTGTCTAGTGGAATCGTTAATTCATATTCGGTTACGAAAATAGGTTTTCATAAGTTATTTATCGTGTAATCAAAGCTTTCAAGTGTTTCGTTACTTCTGTTTTGATTTCAGTATATATATATATATATATATATATATATATATATATATATATATATATATATATATATATATATATATATATACTGCTATTGTTCAATAATTCACCAGTCTATTGCTAAATTTTAATCTGATTTTTAAGAGAATCCATGTCAACTATCGTTTATTGTTTTTTCAATATTTATTTGAAATATATTCATAGGAGTTAAATAATTGGTACAAAGAGTATCACCAAATATTAGAAACAAAATCCCGTGAATTGCGTGAGAAAAAACCTGATTCAAATGGTCATTTCATGAATGGTAATGGTAGCAAACCATCTGTGAAAGATACAGCCGTTTGGGAGAGTATTTGCAATTTATGTGATTTTCAGGTATGCGTTTAAGATATCATTTTATTTGATTACCTAACCTGTTAAAAAACTTGTTAATTTCTTTTCATTGAAGATAAATCGGAGTTTTCATGATTAGAAAAAATACTCATTAATTAAAAGCGTTGGTTACACAAGGCTCGACGTGTAATCACTGGATTTTAATTGTTTGAATCATGCACTATTTATTTTAGTCAGAGCAACCCCAGTTGTGTTATAGCTTAAAGCCCTTGGTACATAGTCTCGTATTATATCCGTCATTTTACTTAATTCAGCATCTAGTCAAAATGACCAGTAAAAAAACGATTAAAAAATACCTGTCAAATAGCATTATGTGTTTGTTTGTTATTTAATTATGAATTACGTAAATCTCAAGGCAAGGAATTAATTAGTACTTGGGTGTTTCCATGTTTTAGATATATTAAGTAGCTTGGCATTAAGTTGTTCTCTTATTTAATTTCATCTTAAGTCCTCGTTAACTGTATTGAACACAGTTTAAATTTCTTAACTGGATCCTATTTTCCTTCATTTATTTAAATATGTACTAATATATCACTGTCAGATGCGGAAATATTCATGGTCTTGTTTTTACGCGTAAGTGGAACGTTGACCCAATAAATCACTTTATTATAAATTATACAATATACAGAGTTTTATGTATCAGGCTGTACATGATGGAAAACCGAAGGTACACGAATAAACCTTTAGTAATCTCTATGGTTCTGGAGTTTTGTTCATTTGTTCACTTATTTAATTGTTGAAACTATGAAACATTACAACCGCCTAATTAGCGACATACAATTCTAGTTGGCATTCGAATTGTTCAATGGAAGACCAATGTCTGAAAGACGAAGATATGAGGTCATTCTATAAATTCTCTAATTTGTATTCATTATCCTTTACTATCTTTAACTATTATAACGATATGGTACTATGTACTTTAATTCTAGTGAGTTAGAACAGTATCGTTTACGACTGATTAGTAGACAGTTGCTATTGTAGTGACACAACGCCTCAGGAAAATTGTTATTGGGCTTGTTCTATTAATGATCTATTGAAAAGTGAAATCTATTTCATCAACTTCAAACAAACAGCATATGTACAGTTATAAATATCTAAATTTTCTTTTTCGTCTTCCCATAAGGTTAAGGTATTCTTTATATTTGGTCTCAGAGTACTTTAGAGATATGTCTAGCTAACAATGAAATCCTTGTAACGTTAAGATGTGAAAGTGTGTTCTGTATAGATATTTACTTCCAGCAATCTTCTAAGTTCCCTTAAGATTTGTACTTTGTTAAATCCAATTTACTTACTGTTAGTATTCAAAGCAGCACTTACAGACCTTTTCGTAGATGTCACTCCACCAACACTCGAAGAAATCAGCATGGCCACCAGGACCAGACAATATCCCATCTGAATCACTGAAGTCAGACAATAATTCTCAGCATTCTATTCAGGAAGATTTGTGAGGATGAACAATTGCCGACAGACTGAAAAGAAGGACACGTCATCAAAATATCAAAGAAAGGAGACAGATGTGAGAACTACAGAGGCATCTCACTACTATCAGTACCAGGAAAGGTTTTCAACATAATGTTGCTGAACTGGATAAAAGACTCAGTAGACGCCCAACTTCGAAATTAACAGGCTAGATTCCGTAAGGATCGGTCGTGCACAGACCGATTCGCAACACTGCGGATCATCGTTGAGCAATCAATTAAATGGAACTCGTCACTTTACATCAACTTCCTGAACTATGGGAAAGCATTTGACGGTGTATATAGGATGACCTTATGGAACCTTGTTCGACATTACGTTGTACCTGAGAAAATCATCAACATAGAACGGGATTCATACGACTACAAAGTGGTGCATAGAAGACATTTGACAGATGTATTCTGTTGTGACTTGAACTTGGATCGATTTTTACCCTATGCCAATTGTTGTGTCCTTGACTGAAAATTAGAGAGCAATGTATTATCGATCAAACCAAAGATGTGTGTAACACGTAAGAATGACCTACAGTTCTGATCGGCCCTTCTTCCCTGTCTAGCCCAGCCAGTTGAGTCCAGAACGCAAGCCTCAGCCTCTGAGATATGAATCATTGTATTTCAAGCATACTCTGTTTGTATATCAATCAACCCGACCACAACGTTCCAATAAAATAGGAAATAACATTTGTAATAATTAACCAGAAGTGGCTGTGAGTGAGGGAGGTAGCGATTAACAGATAGGGAATAATTCATGAATGGTAAATCGTACAATAGTAGTTCATAGGTCAACATAAAGCTCATAATAAGAGGGGTATGAATATGAACAGTTTACTTGCATAACAATTATACGATAAAAATATACTCATAATATTGGTCCATAAATGGATCCCAAAAATTACCATTCATTATTCTTATCGGGACACAACATATTCCAAATGAAGACTGGTGTCAGACAAGGCTGCTTAATCTCCCGCTTTCTCTCTCTTCTGGTAGTTGACTGGGTTATGAAAACCACATCTGAGGGTAAGCACGGAATACAGTGTGCAGTTTAGATGCACCTAGACGATTTGGAATTCGCATATGATCTAGCCCTTCTATCCTATACACAGCAACAAATGCAGATGAAGGCAGCCATTGTAGCCTTAACCTCTGCATCAGTAGGCCTCAATATACACAACGGGAAAATCAAGATACTGAAATACAACACAGCGACCACTAACCGAAGCCCAGGGCAGTGTAGTTTGGAGATTGCTGGTCGGTGGCCTATTCTCCATAACGGTTAACAGGGGTAAGTGATTAAGTAATATCGGTAATTGTTAACAAAAGACATAACATGGTATACATTGTTTTTTTGAATAAACCTTCTCAATGACCAATTATGTTAACTAAATAGATTTTTTTTTGTCTCCATAATGTGTTCAATGAATATTTCTTATATCTACAGGTTTTTTTTCAGATTTATTTTCCTCTTCCATTATTTTTTTCATTTTTCAGTCCAAGCAAAAAACTGCAATTGATACGTCAAGAATGCGTAGTATTCTACTCTCTCTTAAACCAAACAATTAATATACACTATTCATGGAATATCAATGAAAACAATTTGTGCCTATATACCCTGTTTTACTGTTCTATCTTCTTTCAATAATATAAACAAGTGTGATTTCTACTAAATAGGGAGAAAAAAAAAGTGCCTTTTTCTATGTTATATAATGTTTGGAATTTGTATTTTCTTTCACTGAACTAATTATTGACAATTGAATAATTAATTAATTTCATCTTGGTTTTGTTTATTAAAACATGACAATATATAAATATATATATATTCCCCCCCTCTTTTTATCTAAATAAATTTTGATAAAAATGATTTTTGTTTATCTTTAGTTGATAATAATTCTTTATTAGGCATATACATTACGCTATCAATGTTTGATTGTGTCAGTTAATACTCTATTTTTTTTGTGTCAAAAAAAAGAAAGAAATGAATTTTGGCGTTTACAACATAGATTTTTGTAAGCGAATAGTTCTACCATTTATCGGTTCGTTTCTCTGCTTTATATTAACATTTAGAATTATAGGGGTTTGTAATTATGATTTGTTGTCAGTGTTTGTTACTTTTCTGTCAGTATGTTTGTCCGAATAAGGTGTGTTTTTGTCTGTGTGTGTGTGTGTTTGAGTGTTGTGCCTTCATATATTTTTTTTCTTAACAATTTATACTGTGAATAAATAAATGACTTAATTGATACTTGTTGTTTTTTCTGTCTTTTATCGATAATGTTTTGAAAAGTTATACGTATATGTATGTTTGTATTTGGTGTTTGTGTGTGTGGGTGTTATTGTATTTGTAATTGATCGGGTATCCTGGACTTCTGTCAATTCTGTAGTCACGAGTTTAAATGTTATGATTAGGTTTATATAAAACAGCTTATATATATATAAGTTCACCTACCAAGTACCGGTTTATGTACTCAGCTCTTAATCATATTATATTTGTAGGTGCTAATGTTATTACTCTGCTTCTCAAACTTAAATATATGCAGCGAGATTATATTATGCCACCTATTGGTTGATTTTTCATTTGATTTAAACACTATGCCACAATATATTTAACTAATTTATCACTGAGTAGTAATCAATGCAATGTCTCATATAGTGATCTAATTCTATCTGATTTGTGTTTAAAATATTAGCCACTTGGTTAATTGATTCAGTGTTACGATGGACATCATTAAAGATGATGGGAATTGACTATACAGTCTGAGTCTAATTTAGTTCACACTTAATATAATAGGGTATATCTGCAATCCTAAGGAAGTTTATGCTCTCGTTAGTGCTCACCTCCATACCAAATATATTTTTTTCATTTGAATACATTTTTCAGTGAGTCTATATTCACAATCGTATAGTCGTACACATACACATTCCTCTTAAGTCTGTAAACGAATTATTTTTGTAAGAATGTTGATATAGCGATTTTTTTAATCATAAATTTATAACAATTTTAACTATTCAAGGCTAAATTTAGTACATTTTACGGAATAGTTAATGTAGTCAGTGCAGGTTTGTTTTGCCAAGTTATGATAGTTAGAGAGATGCTCTTGCATGCAACAAGAAAGTGGAGGCCCTTGTGAACAACATTCACACTTACAATAGTTGCGCTAAAAAGTATATGTGCTTTACTTTTCTTAAAAATCCCTTCTATTACTAAATAGTTAACTGTTTATTATCAAATCATATATATATATATATATATATATATATATATATATATATATATATATATATATATATATATATATATATATATATATATATATAAGACTGATACACTTATATTTCAAAACTTTGTTATCTAACTCAAACCCTTACCCACTTCTGTTTTGGTGTGCAACATTACAATTAATACTTGACTAAAAGCTGAGTACATGAATTTGTCAGTTGGTAAATTAGTTGTGTTTACGCATCTTGCGGTTAATGTTATCGTTATTCTCCTATACTCAATAGATCATCCACGCATTCGTATAACATTAAAAAATAATTGAATGTAATTGTAAAATAAATATCACCATGATCTACTCACTCTTCTTACTAATGAGTGATAACTCAACTTCTATATATATTATCAAGATCACGAACCAATTCAAGCTAGACAATCATTGGAAACCTAGAAGCACTGGAAGGTCGTTTCATCTTAGTATGAGACTTCTCAATCACCTTTGGCCACACCATAGGGGGTCCTAACCCTGGATCTTCGGTCTCACATACGAACGCTTAACCTGTAGATCGTTGAGTCATAATCTATTGGTGTACAAGTGTAACTTCAATCAATCCAAGATGTTGCGTGATAATCTTTCATTGTATTAGGTGAGAATCTTTCTCACACCCGATCCAGTTATTGAAGTCAGCACTAATCAAAAGATAGCATATTTTGTAGCAGTATTACAAATTCCTAAGTATGTTTAAAAATAGTGCTGATTAAATATCAATAAATAAATAGTGTAAATGGTTAGGATAACTTTAATACTCGAAGACATTGATTAATAAGTGAATTAGAACATACGGTATTGCAGCATCGATAGATTACAAAATAATTGCTATGCATTTGATACAAAGTTGAATAATAATAATATCGGTTATGCAAGAACGCTATATAAAAATATAAATGATGAGAACGTTGACAAAAGAGGTTGTAATAAGTTCGTAAATCACTTCAGTATCGATTATTTTGATGATCAAGGTAGGGAGGAAGAGTGGTTGTACGAAAATTTTTTATAAACATTTTCCCTCGTGAGTTTTATTAATCATATCATTATTATCAAACATTTTAGCGTAGTTTTGGGCAAAAACTAATTAAATCACCGGTTAACATGTGTTTAAGCGATGAGTGATATGTTCTAAGTTTATAGTTGACACCTTATGTTTATGAAATATTTGTGGACTTTTAGGAAAAATTTTAATAGTAACAACTAAGCTAGATTTGATGTAACTGCTGAGTTTAAGTAACGAAAGTAAGTCCTTTCTAGATTAAGTTAGGTCATGTGATATATTATTTTGTAGGAGTCTCGTTTTCGCAACTGAGTGGTTTAATGATGAGGTCCCCATTGTTCTTCACAAACTTCAAATAGAAATGCGCTATTCGAATTTCGCTTATGACTAACAGCTTGTTGATCTTAACCGGTTGCTAACTCTTGTTTCGTCATCACCTGATTGTTTATTTTAAATATCTCTTTTGACCCGATTCTTGACCTTATATTCGTTGACGGACAATAGCAAGACAAAGGTCAACAACTACCAGCCAATATCAAGGTCGACAGAACAAGCTACTAGTCATCTTTAGAGAAATGCAGACAGCTCACTTTTACCTAAAGCTTGTGCTGAACGTATTGTTTAGAAGACTAATGGAGACTTCACAATTAAGTCACTCAGCTCAGAGTATGATACTCCACCAAAACCGTCCACCTTAACTACATATCACTATGCGATATATTATCTATTTATTAGGCTACTTGGTATTGTTTTGGTTGATAAACTGAGATTTGTATGTAGGAATAGTGATTTAAATAGGAAGATTATTCTTTATCAGAGTGCGATGAAATTGTAACTCATATTTCATATAATCGATGGTTTCTATGGTAGTTCAAATGCTTCTGCCATAAAGTTTTTTTTACCAGAAAAACAGTCGTTTATGCTTTTCGTTGTTACTCACTTATTAAATTACTTCAATACTTATCTTATAAAGTCCAACTTTTTTTTATAAAAAACGAAACACAAAATTCTATTCGTATCTTTAGGTTTGTGTATGGTGAAAAATTTTGCGTAGATATACATTTGATCTCTTCGTGTTATGATTGCTTATTCGCCAATGGGGAAGGTGATTTAAAAGATCACTTATTATCAATAACCACGGTTTTTTCTGAGAATTATCTTTCTATAGTCTTTGATTGAAAGTATATGCTCTTACTGCTTGAAAAGTTTTTTACACAATTTATTAAATAGCATTCAACAACATGGATTACAAACCAATCTAAATATTGAATATGTGTTATGACTAAATGATTTTAATTTGTATGAGATCAATATTTCGGATTTCCAAAGAATTGTCACTTAACTTTAATGTTCTTCTGAAATATTCTCAAGTTTCTTTTTCTTTTTAATTCTCAATGACATTGACTCACCAACAGTATTGTGAAATGTTCACCAAGAATAACTAATACTCCCTTTTTGATTTTTATTGACAAGTTGAGACTATTATAACACTAAACTAAATGCCTACCAAATAATTATAATATAGTAAACTATGATTGACATAAACCTATTCTCTAAGAAAATTAGACAAAAGTTGATTCATACTTACATTTATTATCAAATTAAATATGTTGCAAAATCCTTTTATCATATTCACAGTATCGATGGAGAGATGTTTTTGAGAGCTACTTGTTATCTTAGTGTGTAATCCATGGTCATCTGAATTCTAGCTTTTACACTATCCTATAAAAAAATAATTTTGTTTAGTATAAATAAAAATACAGTGAATGTTGAACTCTAAAAAAAAGTGGTCATCATTAATCAATTCAACACCATTTAAGTTATCATTTTCAGAAAATAAAAAGTACTAGTATGAACGTTTTTACCTATAAAAAAAACAATGGAAACTTGAACATATCAACAACGTTATGTATGATCGTAATCAGAGGTGGATGGTGGCTAGCAATGAAATCCAAGGTATGTGTTTTGTTCCATTTGAGACTCGTCAGCAGGATGTACCTGCATCCCAGATTTGATGTGCTAGCTTCAAGTCCCAGAGTGAACATTAACTCTGGTATGCAGGCACATCTAGTTGGCGAGTCTCAAGTAAAACGTGACGTCCATCGAGGCAATCTGCACAGGATCCACATATTCAAAAAAAAAGACTGATCATTAGGAGATATCAACATCAATGTGAAGATTTAAACAATCGATATAAATTAAAAAAATGTATGAGCAATCATAGATGATATCATTTATAACCTCTCACTACTTGTAATGTTTCACAGTGGCTTATAAACGTGTATCCATACACAGTGGCTGATGAGTTTTTTCTACTAAAATAATGTTCTAACTTTCTAAGCGCTACGCCTTCATTTTTATTCAAAAAATCTTATCATGCAGACGTTCATTTGCTGTAAAAGTATCTTTTTATTACTGTAATAACTTGATACATGACTGGTTTGTTAATTACTGATCTCTTCTACCAAGGATACGGCTGTTTACTATAACTGACTTACATTTGTCTGTCTCCTACCTAATACAACGGAACAGGACTGCTTTTATTGACTCAATGAATAAAATAAAATTGTAGAATGGAGTGATTTCTTCGCCAACCACTAAGTAAATGACATTCAGGGTTCATAAACTACGTATCATTTTAAATGTTCTGGTCAATAATAAATGTGAATGTATTGAACTAGTAGTTAAGTCAACTGTCTAATATCTGCATATGAAATTTGTAGTGTCAATGAATTAACTGAGAAATATAATTCATCACTAAATTATCTGTTTGTTTTATTCTTGACAAGTACCATAATACCTGTTTTTAATTGTAAACGGCTTTTATTTTCTATTTACTAATGTTAAGTTCTGAAAATAATCAGTTTGTGTTGATACATATGCATTCTGTGCGGATAGGTTCAGTATTATGATTTACATAACTTTTTATTCAAGTCCGCATAGCGACTAGCATTAAAATGTAGGACACGCATACGTCCC